CTAAATAAATCAGATATATAAACTTCAACAATATTTAGTAGTCATCATCATCAAAAATGTCACGATGAAGATATATAGTGCATTGATGTGACTCTCAATTCTACGACACTGGAGTTTTAAGAAGAAAAAAAACGCCTCTACATGTGATGAATATAGTGCCCATATATAGTCCTTTAATACCTTGAACTGCATGCACCTTGTTAATTCGATTACTAAAATAAGAAGCATTACGGCTCTCTGTTCCAGTATTTATTTCCTTTGAGGTATTTTCTGTCGAGAAATATTTGGCATTTCTAACATGCTTCTTTTTTTTATTCGCGTATACTGAACCAAATATAACGTTATTCGACTCGCTATTCGAAATTTTCGCATAATAGCAGGTTCACGAAGACCAATGAGTTGGATCGTGAAATTTCATTGCGTCACTAAATCGACGCACTAAAAATGATGTTTGCAGCGTTCTCAATTAGATACCAGTGTTCTTACTTTGCTGTGCAGTATGAATATGTCTAAAGCAAGTAGGATATTGTGTTGATGAGTCATTTTACTTGTCCTAAATTGCGAAGTCATTATGCATGGGCATTCATAATCTGTTTTTATCTATCACCGTTCGTGAAAACTGTCATTCATATTTATTTTTTTTTGTCCGCCGCTGGCATGCTGTTACTCCTTCGACATCCAGTGTTTTTTTTTTTTTTTTGTTTTTTTAACAGACTTGCCTCCGAGTAGCTGCCAATTCTTATATGCAATGTATTATACTACGCATGCTTTCGCCAATGTGACGTCTTTGTGGCCGCTGCAAAGTTAAGCTTGTGGACCAACATGGCCGGCCGTGCAGTTTACTTTACAGGAAAATGTAGCTTGATTCGATTTATGGCGGTACGGGTCTTAACGAACGGAGCTGCCGAGCTGAATAGGCGACGTATACTGCATGCGAAAGTCCCTGGACAACAAAAGTCTCGCTGCGTATACTGAAGGCTTTCGCGTTTCGCCCGTTCCCGCGGCAAGCGCTCGTGCCTGGACACTGTCAGCCTCCGACGCGACAACAGCCATTTCGAGTCGCACGACGACAAGCGCAGTGCGGCCGCCTTTCCAAGCTTCTGCAGATGTTGGAGGGGAAGGACACTCGGTATAGTGGCACGCGTTTTGTGTATGAGTGGTGGCGACCACATGACGGCAGCGCCCCCGTGTGTAAGTGCGCGGCTCTGCCGAAACTATAGAAAGTTAGCTGGCGTGTTTGCGCACGCTTGAGTGAGTTGAGAGGGGGTCGGCGAGCGAGGTCCGGGCGTCGAATCCTGATAAATCTTTCGCTGAGGACCGGGCCCTTCGGTGTGCGGGCTCCGGTGTCTAAATAAAGCCGCGCCGTCGTGTCCTATAGTGACGCGCGACTTGCCTGCCTCGACGGCAATTAAACGCACTTTGGTGCGGACCTCCGAGACCCGTGGAGGCATAGACGACGCTGAGTTCGAGGCGCGCGCCGAAGTGTCTCGGTGGCGTGTTTGTTTGTTTATGTCGGCACGTCGATTTGGTGCTTTGATGCATGGAACGTCTCGTGCTGCTGTGGCGTGATGGGCGACTCCCACGAGTGGAAAGAAAGCTCGCTGGATGCTCGGAGCGAGAGAGTTTATCCGCGGTGTTTTCGCGCCGCATAATGGACGCGTATATCACTTCTAAACGTACAAGAGAAACAAAAAAGACCGAGAGAAACAGCGAGAACGAAAGGAAGAAAGAAAAACAGATGTAGAAAAAATATAATCAAAGGAAGTGAGGAAGACATGCAGATTGAAAAAAGGAGATTGAAAGAGGAAGCAATAAAGACAGATAGAAAAAATCGAAGATAGATGAATAAAAATTGACAGAAATAGGGATTCCATTGAGGGTGAGAAGGGGAATGCCACTGGCTCCGCTGCTGCTTCAGTCTTCGCACCACTATAGAGTGTCCCTACTTTCGTTATCGAATTCTGTTAATTAGATAGAGCTTTTGACGAACCCTGCCGCAGATGTCTAGTGGCGATGGACCTCCACTACTGATACAAAGGTCGTGGTATTGAATCCCGGCCTCGGTGACCGAATTTCGATGCAGGGGAAATGTCAGAGGCTCGTGCTACTTAGATTTAGATGTGCGTTAAAGAACCCAACGTGGTCGAAATTTTCGGATCCCCGCATTATGGCGTCCCTCATAATCATATTGCCGGTTTGGGGACAAAAACACCGAACAATGATTATATTGATTGAAACGCAAGTGTGATGGCGCACGCGATTTAAATATGCACATTTATGATGCGACATGCACCAAAACCTTGACTGAACATGTAGAGTGCTACGAAAATACTGAATACGGCTTGGTGATGGGAGCTTAGATTTGACGTCTGCTTGATACGTCGATGGGAATTCGCTCAGCTCGGACGAATTAGTTCGCTAATGCTGCGACTTTATCCGTACGTTACAGTTGACGTCGTCAAGGTATCTACGCTGGTGAGAATGTGTGCACAGGGAGGGCCGCTGGCAATGTTGCGGAGCTGTGAACGGGCAGGTGCCCCAAGAATCTGGGCTATGTTTTCTTCACTAGCGAAAGGTATACGCCGGGCAGAGCGGCAGGGACAATTGGAGGCCGGGCAGGTAGGCTGCAGACTTGACGCATTTTCACAAACAGCTGTCAACTAATTGATGGCCGACTAGCTGCCGAGTTGAGTAGGGTAACATGTCGCTAGATTTTTTTTTATGAAAACTATTAGCACTGGATGTACAATTGCTGGGTGACAGCTGAGCTGGTGGTTACATAGCTCTTCCTGAATGAGGTTGGTTTTTACTCTCTCCCAGGTCTCTTTCCCACACCTTGCTATACTGTACTGTACTATATTATACTATAATATATTATACTAACTATACATGGATATGCTTGCTTCCTTCTTTATCTTTTTTTTGAAAGTGTATTTCTACCCATTTCTCTCAATGCTTGTAGGCAATCCTCGACCATGAAAACTCTGCTGTGGAAGGTCTGTCACTGGAATTGACGAATTTCACCACACTGGTCCCTTTTTTAAGAGAACACACAGGCCACAGGTTTCAGCTTCTCTTGATGAACATGTGTACCGAGTGCTTGCACGATGACTGAGCGAGTGCCTGCTGACAATGGTCATTTTCCTTTAATATATTGGCTGATCGGCTGCTGTGCCCAAGAGGTTTGCTAACCCAATTGAAATGGCTGGACCATCGAATGATCAATAAAATATCTACGCGATGAGTTTCGTGTACCATGCAGATGTTAATAATAATAATTAGGGTTTAATGTCCCAAAACCACCATATGATTATGAGAGACGCCGTTGTTGAGGGCTCGGAAAATATCGAACACCTGGGGTTCTTTAACGTTCACCTAAATATGAGCACAGGGGCCTCAAAAGTTTTCGCCTCCATCGAAAATGCGGCTGGGATTTGATCGCGTGACTTTCGCGTCAGCAGCCAAGTACCTTAGTCACTAGACCAACGTGGAAGGTCTATGGTGTAGGTGTTGAGGATAAAGTGTGCATGGTGGCAATATGTGGCCGCGTATATACGGTCACATAAAGGTTAGGTTTCATCTCGGCTGCCGTCTTTATGCTCACGTAGTGGACGGTGGGGGTCGCAGCACAGTGAATCTCTTCTAAATCGGTCGGACATCACAGTTCATAGCCGTACGATGCAGATGGTATTTTTATGGCACAGGGGTCAAGCTAAGGGTGACAAATATTTTTAAGACGAGTGAAACGTAACACGCCATCATTCAGGCAGTTGCAGTGTAAAAGTTGTGCGTATCAGTTTGGTATATGTTATGGCACCGAGGTGTACTTGCACGACAATGGGAAGCCGAGTAGGAACGGCAAAGAGGTCAAGTCGTGACAATTAAATGTCCGACTTGCTGAGAAAAGCTGACCAATGGATTGAAAGGGTGAAAAAAATCATGGCATATCCATGAAGTGAATGATGACGAGTGGGCATAGCAGTGGGACCGTTCGGTGTAACCGTGAAATCCCGCGTGACATTGACCGATCATGAAAGTAAATGAGTGCCAAGTGGTGTACAGTTATCGAGACGTCATGTTCTGAACAAGCAAGTAGTTGTCCGCGATCATCATTGTCATCATCCTCATCGTCGTCAGCGTCATCGCCATCGTCATGGCGTATAGTGGGTATATTGCATGGCCTGCGCCGCAAGATGAAAGAAAGAGAATGTGTGGCCTGCAACGTGCTTGTTCTTTATCGTCATCAGCATCATCGGCATCGGCATCGGCGGCTACGGTGCGACAGAGGACAAGCCTGGTTCATAAGCTGCTTCGCATTTAATATAATTTAATGGCCCACCATACATGCTAGCGCCACACTCGGTGCTTTCTATATTGCGGCGCTGCAGAATGTCGTATCAGCAACACGTTCAAAAACAGCTATATATGTACGACCTTCCAGCGATTTCACAACGTCGCCATTCGTTTGCGCATTTAAAAATGTATCTTCACCGTTACATCTCATCTGAAACTCGTGACGCCAGAAGCGCTACATAAAACGAGTCGCGGAAACCTCTCGTAGCAGTGTATGGTAAAGAGGCAGAGAGAGAGCACCAACGCGTAGTTTTTATACTTCTTTGCACCGCTCCGAACCACGCATCATAGCCAACTTTATACCAATCCGCTGCTCCTCCGACTGGCTTTTACTAAGAAGGCTGTCTAGACCTGTTGGTAAGGCATGATATAAACTAAAGAGCTTAAAACAAGGACAGAGGACACGCTTGAGATATGAAAGTGAGCACCACTATTTTAAGTCAGCGCTCGCGTGTCTCAAACGTCTTGTCTGCTATTGTCTTCTGCACTTGCATGTTTCTTTCTGGGCTTCACTTTCTGTAATGCAGTGGGGGGGGCATATATGTTTGTAAGCGCTCGTAACTAATGGAGCCACTCTCCGTTTTTCCTTTCTTCTCGGTGTCCGGCCTTGGCGATGTGTCCCGAACCACGCGTCCGCTTCTGTCCAGGCGGAGGTCCGGAGACCTCGTTGGCAGCGGCTGCCGCTGCCGCCGCGGCGCAGGACGCCAGCGGGATACGTCGCTACAGGACGGCCTTCACGCGAGAGCAGCTGGCCAGGCTCGAGAGGGAGTTCTCCCGAGAGAACTACGTCTCCAGACCCCGGAGGTGTGAGCTGGCCGCCACGCTCAACCTTCCAGAGAGCACCATCAAGGTTTGTATTATAGCAACTCTCCTACAAACTGTCCTGCACTAATGCGAGCATGTGCACAGGCAGCCAACGGCTGTGCGTGTGTGCGTACACACGCACAGCCGTATACATACATACATACATACATACATACATACATACATACATACATACATACATACATACATACATACATACATACATACATACATACATACATACATACATACGCTGCAATTCTAGTCAGTTATACCTGGACCCTTTAGTTCTGCATTTCTACTTCATCAATTATATTACGCCCATATATGGATAAAGTACAAACTTCTACAGGCATCCCTGAAGTTATAGGATGTAGCGCATGTATAAATCATCGCGTCCCACACAGACCATAATTACCGTACATACCCTGTGGTAATTACGCAGTGGCGTACCATATATATGAACGGTAAAAAAAAATAGAATGTTAACATGAGTGCCAAATTGAGTCTTTAGGATAAAGTAAGGTAACAAGAAGCGAAATCATGTTTCAGCCTATAAACAAATGCGCGCGCGCGCGCGCGTGTGTGTGTGCGTGTGTGTGTAATATAACATCCATGGCTATTAGTAATAGCACTGATTTTATCTTCGCGTTAACACCCTTTCTGAAATGCCGATATAAAATGTCATGTTCACAAAAAATATCACGAGAGGCATATAGTTCATGATAACTATATTCAATAAGGAGCTCCGCGAGGACGCGTCAAATTTACAGAAAATGATGCCTATGTCTTATTTGTTTTGTTCTGGTTCGAGCTTCCGTTTGGCTATTTCTGTCATTGTCCACACAACCTGATGTCGGGTTATCAAATTGAATAGCCAAAGAAACGTATTACCAGATGTATGAATCTATATATATGGCAATGAGGCTTGCCGGAGGGTGGGGACTAAATTAGACCACCTGGGGTTTCCTAATGTGTCGCTTCATCTATGTGTACACCGCTGTTCTTCATTTCACTCACGTCCAAATTCACCCGTAGTCACCGGGAACCCCGAACCCGCGGCTTAGAGCTTAGAGCGCGCAAGACTAGTTAAATTACAGCTTTGAGCGCTGTTCTCATGGAGCTATATGAGCGGATGACAGAAAGGGAAGGAATGCTCCAGTGTAACGGGCGATGCATTTCTTTTTTATTTGCTTCTTATGCGAAGTAGTGCGGGACCAGAGTCGTAGATGGTCCGGAAGCTATTTCGGAGTCCAGTCGAAACATGCGAGTCAGCGCACTTAAAAACCGCGGGGCTAAAAACGAACGCGCCGAACGATCATACGGTCCTCTGCTTTTCGAAAGAGATGATTTAGTGGCGAACGTCAACCAGCGAACGTTGGTGGCCAGCCAAAACAATACGTCATGCACCGTGCATGTTAGTTTGTGTCCATGTCGTGTTCGAAAGCGCAGCGTGGCTTATACGACGGGGTGTAAAGCGGCCGGTGACGGGTTATTTCCAGTGCTTCGGTTTCCCTTTGGGCCGTTTGTGGCGGCAAATGCGTATGTGAGTGTTTGTTTAGATAATACCCTAACGACGAAGATTACTTTTTACGCACGTTCCTTTTCAGTTAGGGCGACAAAATGGGCTTTTCTTTGCACACTTTTCTTGTTTCAGCGTATGCGCGACTCTTTATGCTTAAGGGGTGGTTTACAACTACCGTAATTTCGCATTGTGCAAGGAGGCGTAAGCTAAAGATGCGTCATCCACCTGTGCTTGTTTCCAAAGCCAGTAGGCAGACTTGTCTCTGGTCTCACTGACCATCTATAAGCTTTTCAAAACCTGAGATTGTCAGTGCCAGGGCTGTGAGGAATTGTTTTTCTGTGTCGTCGTGGTGAGTGTGTACCGCTTACTCTGTTCCGTATGAATAGACGTAATGTGCAGTTGAGAAATTTGTGGTGAGCCGATGCATGTAGTTAGTATACTGTTTGCGTCATAGTCTCTCACGTTTTTTTTTTTTTAAAGAATGCTTGAAAAGCCTCGTCAAACAAGATAGCTGAACGTTCGTGTCAACACGAGTAAGACCAAGTGATAACTTCACTCTATACGACATCCCATATTTAAAAAATGATGGTGTCATCAACACGTCCCTATCAGATCACGTCACATTCAATTATATCACGCCCCGCCGCGCGTGGTTTAGTGGCTAAGGTATACTTGGCTGCTGACCCGCAGATCGCAGGATCGAATCCCGGCTGCGGCTGCTGCATTTTCGATGGAGGCGAAAATGCTGTATAGGACCGTGTGCTCAGATTTGGGTGCACGTTAAAGAACACCAGTTGGTCAAAATTTCCGAAGCCCTCAACTACGGCGTCTCTCATAATGATGTGGTGGTTTGGGGGCGTTAAACCCCACATATCAATCTATCAATCGATGACATCATCACATCACATTCGATGACATCACGTCAAGCCGATGTCGGAGGCACGTGTAATGATGAAATCCTGCAACGCTTCCGATCCATGAAGCAGTGCAAAAGCACGCTAAGTGAAGAAAGCTTCCGAAACGATGTATGTGTGGGGGGAGGGGGTGTCAATGGAATGAAATAAAAAGGAAAAGTCAATGGCTTTGCCATTCGAGTCGAATAAATAATGGTTTGTCGCCGCTCCTGAGAATGCCTCTGATTTATTTATATGTGAGGTGTATCATCCAAAAACCACCGAATCATTATGAAAGACGCCGTATAGTGAAGGTCTCTGAAATTTCGACCACATGGGATTCCTTAACGTGCACCCAAATCTCAGCAGACGGGCCTACAGCGTTTTCACCTCCATCGAAAATGCAGCCGCCGCAGCGGGGATTCGATGCCCGTGACCTGCGGGTCAGCAGCCGACTACCTTAGCCACTAGAACAGCGGAGAATGGGTCTGCCATGCATGCTCGACCACTCACCATCGCATTGCTCCTCGCAGGTGTGGTTCCAGAACAGGCGCATGAAGGACAAACGGCAACGCATGTCCCTGGCCTGGCCGTACGCCGACCCGCAGTTCGCCGCGTACATGCTGAACGCCGCGGCTGCGGTCGCCGCCTCGGGTACCGCGGGATACCCGTACGCGCTGCCCTTCCCGTACTACACGGCAGCGGCGCTGTCTCCGCTCGGCCGCTACCACATGTACAGCACCGGCGCCAGTCCTGTCAGACCGCCGTCCCCGGGAGGCATTCAGCTGGCGCCCGGGACGTTTCCCCGGGGACCTGCGGACCCGGCTACGGCGACGTCGCCCACAGCGACGACTCCGTATCCTTGCCCCTGCTTACCGTACGCCCCCGGCACGCCGCTGCCGCCCACGGGGCACCCGTCGCACCAGCAGCACGCGACGTCGACGACGCCCTCGACAGCGGGGTCCAACCGGTCGCCGCCGACTTCCCGGATCATCGCGGCTCGCGAACCCATCACCCTGAATGCGCACACCACGACGGAGCCTTCGGCGAAGGCACCCAGCTTTTTCCGACCGTTCAAAACGGACTCTGAGAAGGCCTGACTCATCGTGCCTGTGCCTGTGGAAGTGCTGACTTCGGTGACGGCAGGGGCCGCAGCCAGGACTTTATTTGTACATTATGCCGTGTACGCCATGCATGTTTGTATGTTAGCGTGTGTGTCTGTGTAAGTACGTGTACATAATATGGAATGCCATTGAACTCGAAATGTCGCTCGAACCAACGTTCCGCCAAGGTCTTCGTCAAGGCGCGAACTGTGTTTCTCAGCAGTTTGTCTGGGCACGCATTGCTCACACTGTATCAGTCTCAAAAATAGAATAGACGAGAAATGCGCGTAAAGCGACAAGACAAAAAAGGAGGGGGGGGGGGGGAATCGATATTGGCTGGCGGGTTGAATTGGGGACTCAGGTGGAAAATGAAGATGGGAAGGGGGTATTAGTCGGGGTTTTCGTTCACTTCATTTCATATTTATTTACCTTAAAATTACTACACTAAGGCTAAAGACTACAAATGAACTCTGTGCCCTTTCATACCTTCGTTGTCTGTTGATTTAAGTTATGTCATGGCCGGACTGGGAAGGCGGGGAGCATTCCAAGTATGTCTAACCAAGAAATCCGTTCTCATTCTTCCATGCACTGAGTGAGGTTGCGCACAATACGTTTTTTTTTTTCTTTCGCATTGACAGGGTTCAGGGCGGATGCATTGATTGATAGATATGCGAGGTTTAACGTCCCAAAACCAACATTTGATTATGAGAGACGCCGTAGTGGAGGGCTCCAGAAATTTCGACCACCTGTGGTTCTTTAACGTGCACCTAAATCTGAGCACATGGGCCTACGGTATTTTAACCGTCATCGGAAATGCAGCCGCTGCAGCCGGGATTTGATCCCTCGACCCGCAGGTCAGCAGCCGGGTACCTCGGTCACTAGACCACCGTGGAGGGGCAGGGCGGAGGCATTGCGCTGTGTCATTATTTCCACTGGGGTTGTTAAAAAAATAACATTGTGCTGTTTCAATCCTCCACAACTCCACCACATGGTGAGCAGAAACTGAACATTTGAATTTCATTGCAAGAGCAGTTTTCGTTGCATTAATCGTTGCATTCAAAGAAAGTAAGTTTATTACTGTAATTTCATTATTACCAAATCCGCCGATGGTCGCACGGGTGTTATAGTGGTTAGGGCGCTTGGTCTGCTGAACTAAAGGTCGTGGGTTTGACCCCCGGGCCGCATCGGTTGCATTTCGATGGAGGCGATATACTAAAGCCCATATAGCACTTAATATAGGAGCACGTTAAGGAACCCTTCATGGTTGGAATTTCGAGAGCCCTCCACTAAACCGAGCCTCAAAATCATATTGTGGTCTGACGCGTAGATTGCCATAAATTATTGGCACTATTTAAATATGGCATGTGTTTGGACTAGTTGGTTCATAAGATCAGCAAAAAATTTCAAACTATGCGAAGAGGACAACACGTAGGAATACCACGTTAGCTTCGTTTTGCGTTTCAATGTTCTTTCGTGTTGTGTTCTATGAGCAATTTAAACTTGCCTGCTGAAGTTATTGTTTGTCGCTAAGCGAGGCAGTTGCTCCCTTGACGAAGACCGGTCCACTTGTCGAAGTGCATCCTCCAGTGACATTGTTTTAATCGTTTCAAGCTTCCATCTTCCCCTGAAGTCTTGTTTGTACATAATAGTCATGCATACAAACACCATATTTGGCAAGTAAACACCAGTGCTTAAAGTCAGGAGGGAGGTCGGGGGGCCCGGTTCCTTTCCCATTTTTTTTTTTATTGGGAGAGCTCCTCCCGCACCCTCTTCATCTGGTCACGCGCAGCAAAACACCCAATTGACAAGCACTGGAGTTTTTTTTTTTTTTTTTTTGCAGTAGTGCTTTGTGCAGTGAACTTGTAACTATCCGAAGTTATTATTGATGATTTAATCGCGATTGTTGTGTTCATGTGGCAGCTTAATTCTTGGCACAGCATACTGTTTCACGAGGCATCTGAGCGTTAACATACATGCTCGTGAATTATAAAGTTCACCTTGGTCTCTTTACGTTACCGGTGAATTTTTATTAATTCAATTGTGCATTAGGTGTCTCGTGTAATATCAAAGACGCATACATTTGGTAATTTTTTTAGGAAAGTAGAGGTGGAAATGAAACATAGCGTTTTCGTGCCTGAGGTCCTCGATGCAGCGAGTAAATTAATGGTCGGCGCTGTAGCTTGGTTACTTACTTCGAGCTTGCATATCTGCAACCCTTACCGTCCCGAGTGATCTTTGAAAAAGCCTTTCCAAAATGTCCATTTTCAAGTGATTAATTGGATCCTCACAATATTTAAGTGCAGCACTCTGAGCTTGTTATTTCGTACACGAAGGGGACTATAAAACTGTTCGAATTAAGCATAGTTTAAATAAGCGGGCGTGTGCTAGAATGAACTGACATCGCACCACACTGCGCGGATAAAACCAGATGTCACCTCTGTACTCGTTATCTTGAATTAGTCCCTACTAAACGCTTGCGGCAGATGATTTCTCAAATTAAGTTCGTAGAGCTCTAATAATTAACAGAATCACTTCATCAACCAGTTACACTACAGGAACAAGCACCGACATTCATTCATGTGAATAGTGAACCCTAAAGTCGAAATATATGACGCTATTAATGCTCCAAAACAGTTTTGTTTACATTCCAGAGTTAATGCAATCAAAACTAAAAGTAATCCGTAATTAATGAATTTTTGTCTCTTGTGCTGTCATGACCCCATGAACATCGTTTTCAGCTTGCCCGTGAGCTTCAGGGCAGAGTCCAAATTGTCATCTGCCCAGAAATGCTGCTGTTTTTGATGTTTTGCGTCTCTGGTAAACTTGTCTTGGTATGGTTTTGCAACATATGTTGATCACTGTGGGTCTACTTCTACGAGGAGCGATGAAAAGAAGGGGCTCCCAGTTTGAATTAACGAGCTTTTATCGCATTGTTCTTTTTATAACATCCGGAAGCATCTGTTTAATTTAGTTCGAGAGACAGTTTGCTTCACTGCACCTTATGCATATATGTTACTGCTTAGTTAACCTCTTCCCCCACCCCCAACCCCCTTTTTTTTTATACAAGGGAGACATTAAGCCTTGGTATGAACAACCCGGTTACCCCTTGTGGATATGCATGTCTGTGGGGGAGTGAGACGAAATGGTGGTCGCACGAAAGATGATTATGCAAGTTTGGGGTTAATATATTGTATTATATTGTGATGTAACTTAATGTACTGTAACGTAACTGAGAGCGTGCGTACGCCAAGCCGCTGCTCTGCATTGAATGCATGTGCCAAAGTAACTGTGCAGTGGCGACTGAAGTAACAAGGTCAGCAGTGTGCGGCCTGGTGAATCAGCGAAGTCTGGCCATGCCGAGCAAAAGCCACTGCACTTGCCAACCGCCTCCCGGGATGATGGAGGCACCTAATTAGGACTGAGAACGCTTTCTTGCTGTTTCTCCCTTTAAACGCCTATTTCTCCGCATACGACCACAGACAATAAACGTTCGTATCCGAGTGCAGCCGTTACTCCAAGAGATTGATCAGTGATCCACTGGGGACGAAACGTGAAGATTAAAGACGTTGTTTGACTCAACGAAAGGGACGGTGCACGCTACGCTTTCAAGTTCGTATGCTTTCCTTGCTTGGCGTAACGCAAGGAAAACCACGTATAAAATATAAACAAAAGAGGACGCATGTGCTGCATGAAGAGAAATGCAAAAGGAACGGTTAAACAGAAAGTAAAATGATAAAAAGAAAAAAAAGAAAAGAAAGGGGAAACTGAATAGGAACATGGAAGGCTGCCCATTTCCGCAGTTCTTTCAAGCTTGGCACTAATATAGTGTAAAGCTGCCATATTTTTATTTATTTATGGCAAAAGCGACCGAAACACGTGCGTGACATGTACAATCTTCTCGATACTTAGCTGGAGTATAAATCTAGGCTCGAATAAGTACGTATACGGTGCTTAACAAGCGCGGGTCCATTTTTTTTAGATGTAGTTGTTGTGATTTTGATTCCTGACGATGAGTGCGGGAGTGCTTGCGATTACTAGTAAATCTGTCGCGCTGAGCACCCTAACAGCAGTGTGCATGGTAGCCGGGAGGAACCTCGTGAGTATTATGCCGCTGCGCGCACAAGCTCATGTTAGGATGTCTTCATATAAGCATTCGTGAGTGTTTGCGTACAGCGTGCTCACTGTGCTCACCAAGGCTGCCGAAATAAGCCACGAAACAAGCAGAAAACTTCGCGAGCTTTAAGCACATACAGCTCAAGTGATTGCGATAGGGAGTGTGGGCGCTGCTGTGTTGGTATCTGATTCCGATATACTCTGCCTTCAAGTCGCAGGAAGTTCAGTGCATCGTATGCGTGTTCCAAATGTTGTTTGCATGCGGAGTAAGGGATTACAATGCGCATCATCTTATAGTGTTCGCGGGATTCTCAATCATGCTATCAGAGAGACGCAAAGAGAAAAAAAGGAGAGAAAAAGCGATATAATTAAACTCATACTTGAAAATGCTTGTATAGGATGTTTTTAACGTAACAGTGCCGGTGTGCGGGGCCGGTGACAAACTCTGTTGAGCAAGTCGCTCCACAAGCGAACCAAGAGACCAAATCTTCTGTGTACATATGTACATAATTCCTCTCTACTGTCATTCAGCGCAGGCCATCGTTGAGATGCAGAAGCTCACGCTACACAGTGACAGCATGGTCACCTGTAAAATTTTCTTGGCTTTCTCTTCTTTCGTGTACATATTTATCCGAATAAACAATCACTTACTACAATGCGAGTTCGTTGCAGTCAATTCAATCAGAAGACAACGCCTCCCCGTTCACTTTGACTGCTTCTTCGCTGCAACTGGTACATGGGTAGTGTCTTAAAGTTTGCAGGCTACCGTCTCTCGTATTTTTATAGTATATACTAAAGCGTGGCCTGCGAACTTTTGACCAATGCTGTACTCTGAACGGAGCTTGCTGATTGGCGCTTGCGCTGTGTCGTCATTCTGTTTTGTA